CCGTGCCGGTGAGCCGCAGGAACTGCCCCTGCACACCCCGCACACCCCTCAGGGCTGCCCTGCACCATCCTCCCCAGGACCAGCCCTGCTCAGTTTCCCCCTCCCCGTCTCTCCTGCGGTTTGTGATCACTTAGAAAAGCAGTTTTTCTCACCTAAAAGCAGCACGGGCACTCAAACATTTGCCTCGAGCAGCCGCAGGAGCCCAAGCTGGAGCTTTCAGCCTGGCTGCAGCGTTCGACCGGTGCTGCCGGTACTACCGTACCGGCACATCGGTGATAAACCGCCCGTGCTGAGCGCTGCTGGCTGCAGAGGGGCTCGAGCACAGTTCGTTAGGAGGGATAAGGTCACCATGCTCATTTCCTCCGCGGTCACTCGGGACAGCCGGGAAGGCTGGCTCCTCTGGCATTCGGCAAAGGTCAGCCAGCCCCGGCGCTCGCGGTGCGTTTACACTGCAGCGTGCTCTGCCTGCTTCTCGGCTCGCTCCTGGGAGCATCGCAGTCAGAGTTTGGGTGCTCAGGTGTATCTTTTTCCTCCCCATCTTTTAGATAAATGTCATAGCTGCAAGCAGCGTTGTTTTCCAGCATCCCAGCAGTGATAGAGAGCAGAGAACGTCGTTACACTTTAATGAGGGATTCCAGGGAATCAGGAAAAATGGGTTTTTCATACAGGGGAGCAGATCGGTGCATCTGGTCCCTGTAGGTGAAATAAAGGTAACATCAGGTTTCCTGCCCTTTCATTGGGTTACGAGCTAGCCAGGGCTCGTCTGCCCCGATGGGAGATGCTCACATGAAGCCACCTAAGTCCAGCGTCGGGTTTTCTCCTGCCCCAGAGCCCACCGGAAGATGCACCCCTTCAGCATTGCTCAGACTGAAAGAGAAAGTTTAAAAATTTGCTCAGGTTGGTTTTGTCTTAAAATTTTTTTTGAGTTTGGGCTGAATTCTCCATGTAAGGGCTCACCATGTCCTGAGCATCCTCTTGGGACCAGGGTGCAGACGTGCCTCGAGGAGCTTCTTCCTCTGGGCTTTTCATGGAATTTCTGAGGTTTAGGTCTCTCAGTGGGTTGCTTCATAGAGCCCACGTGATGGGGCAAAATCCTTCATTCTGGCAGATACTGTGAGACAGATACAGTGAAGGCAGCATGTCCAGTCACTGTCATCTTTTCTTCAGCCCAGACTTGGGTCCTGGAAGTTTTTATACCAACAGTTTGGCCAGGGCAAGAGCATCTTCCCGAGTGGGTGATGGGTCTGGGATTTCCTGGGACGCAAGCACAGCCCTACCACCCTGCTTCCTGGAGAGCTGGGAAACAGCTGCTCCCCTCAACCCTTTGGTGCCTCAGTTTCCCTTTGGTTGAATGAAGCTGTTAATCCATTGCAGTGTCCCAGGCGTGCCGCAAGGCTAAATTCACCAGCGCCCACACGGTCTCCTTCGGATGCTATGGTGACGGGGCGATGTGAGGACATGGACCAGCTGATTCGCATCGAGATGCAAAACGTTGCTGAGACCCAAACCTTTGGGCTATCTGGTTTCGTTCCCCCTCTCTGGGGCGAGCCAGATATAGAAATGGGAGTCATGCAAAACAGAACAGAGTCTCTATTTTAGAGCGGGGCTCGAACAAATTAAAATGGAGCATGTTCAAAAGCCAGCTTCCCTGGATGGCAGACAAAAATAATCAATTTCCTTGAAACAAATACTAAATATTAATGAGAGGCGATGGTCTGCCGTGCGCGCAGAGCTGGAAAGAGCATTTCCCGTTGATCAGCAGCGGAGGCGGGTCGGTGAGACGAAATTGCTTTTCGAAGGGATATTTGTGGCCCTTCTCGAGGTGGCTCGGGAAGGTTTGCGTGCCCAAAAAAAAAGAAACGAAAACTCAGAGCACTTCCATTTTTCATCAGGGCAGCCCCCGGGGATGCGTGCCGGTGCTTTCATTTTTGTTTACGCGCTTGTCGGAGCGGTTGGGGAGATGGCTCGGTTCGGTTACGTCAAAATCAGTCCCGAATTCACATCAAGAAGGAGGCGATTGCCTGGGAACATCAGCCGGCTGCGCCTGCCCCCAGTGAGCACCAAAAGGGCCTGCTGGAGGCAGAACATGGGACCCACGGGCACTCCCCGGGTTTGCAGCCACATCCGCTCCGTGACTTATTTCAATACCGAGCATTGGGGGAAACATTAAAAAAATTACTTACAGCCCTCACCAAGTATCCTAAAGTGAAAGCAGAGGGCTGGGAGCTTTGGAAAAGGAGCCTTGAATTTTTCTGTTGCTTTGATCCTTGGGTAAGTCAGGAAACTTTGTATTAACTCTGTTTCCAAACTCGGAGATTGGAAGAAAAATAAAAAAGCTCCTTTCCCTCCCTCACCGGGACACACAGCTGTGGCATGGGGCTTTTTCCCCCTGATGCTGTGCTCGTCTGGCACGGTGCTGGTGTCGGCTGGGAGAGCGAACGGCACACCGGGGATAGCCACAGCCTCCCTGGGAGGCCACCGGTCTCAGCCCTGCCGAGTCCCGCACGCGGCCGCGGAGGATGCTGAAAGCGTTTTGCGTCCGTCGTGCAGTAAATAGTAACACGTTGGCTCATGATTTGATAAAAAAATTAAGCCAGCTGCATAGCCATGGGTCGAAACGAGAGCTAATATTAGGCAGAAATGACTAAAATTAGAAAATGAGAACCGAGCCAGAACTAATTAGTTGTTCAAGGAATAGAACCAGAACCGGAACAAATTAATTGTTACTGAAATATCGCCGCGGGGCCTGGCGGGTGCCGCCGCTTCCAGCCCCACGCCGGCTCCCGCTCCGCTTTGCTTGTGATGGCTCCCGCGCGGGCTCGGATCGGAGCCGGGGGTCCCATCCGCAGGCTGACAGCTAAATAAAAGTCAGTGTCTCCATCCCAGCTGGGGAGTCAGCAGTGACGTGCTGCA